CCTAAAGTAATATTCCCTTTCACTTCCTGAAACAGTTACCATTTCCCAAAGTAATATTCCCTTTCAGTTCCTGAAAGAGTTACCATTTCCCAAAGTAATATTCCCTTTCACTTCCTGAAACAGTTACCATTTCCCAAAGTAATATTTCTTTTCAGTTCCTGAAAGAATTACCATTTCCCAAAGTAATATTCCTTTTCAGTTACTGAAAGAGTTACCATTTCCCAAAGTAATATTCCCTTTCAGTTCCTGAAAGAGTTAACATTTCCCAAAGTAATACTTCCCTTTCACTTCCTGAAAGAGTTACTATTTCCCAAAGTAATATTCCTTTTCAGTTCCCAAAAGAGTTACCATTTCCCAAAGAATATTCCTTTTCAGTTCCTGAAAGAATTACCATTTCCCAAAGTAATATTCCTTTTCAGTTCCTGAAAGAGTTACCATTTTCCAAGGTAATATTCCCTTTCACTTCTATATCTTAAAGCAGCTGACGGTTTTTGATATACAAGTGGTTTTACACTTAATTGTAAAACATGGTATGTAAAACAGTGAAAGTAGATTAGGTAAACACAAACTTTGAACAGAATCTGCCATTTCAGTCTAAGTGTTCAAGCTATCAATCTAGCTAATTTTACAAATTTGTCTCATTAACTAATGTTTAAAGTAGCGTTTCTATTACAAAAATTGTGCAATGTTTAAGAACAATATTTTGCTTTTGACTAAATATAATTTACCTTCTATTTTCACCTCATTTTAAAATATAATAATAATAATAACACAACCCATAAGTGTAGGAATCCATCTAGTGATCAGTTATAAATAGCAGATTTTCTAAACACTCTTGTCTTCCAGAGCCTTGTTCCTTCAAATTTACATCAAATTCAAATAAGGATTACCTTTTGTTTTCCATTTGTTAAACTTTGTGTTAAATCTCTACGGCCCCAACAAAAACTTTAATCGTGGAAAAAAAGTAGGTTTTTATGACAACCTTTTATCAGTGGCCAAAACTCATTCCACTGTTTTGTTTCAACCCTCTTTAGTCCACTACGACGTATGTCTACATTTCAAACTGATTTTTAGTTAGGACTCAAATCATACATTAGAAAGAATACGGTAACATATGAATATCTACAGATTAAGAGATTTTTATCTCCAGGAAGAGGGGTGTGTCAGCTCGCCAAAATACAAGTTAAATTATATATACCTTGGTTAAAAAAATTCATTTATTAGACCAAATGTAAATTTACTCCAAACTTTATACTTTCCTTAGCAATAATAGACTGTGATTCAATCACCTTGTTTTAAGTTTTCATATATATGTAGCATAAAACAGTCAGTGTTTGAAACTTGCACTTCACCCCAGTATATACCAGCAAACTTAACACTCAAAGATAAATCATGTTAATAAGGGGACCTGGTG